AAACCGTCACAACTGAAGCCCGTGTATGTTCGAAAGCTCTTGCGCCTAGACATTCACGGCGGACAGGTCCATGCCGCAGTGAATAAGTATGGACTCACGCTCTCTAGGCCACAACTCATTATCGTAAATCACGACGCGCTCGCGTTCCCGAGGCCTCCCTCGTTAATCTGGCAGAAAGCGAGTTCGAATCAACTTGTTCGTTTTTCCTAACCATCCTGTGGTGCTGGGTCCTTCTTTTGAAAAGACGGCGCCCCGCGTTCTGCTTCTCCCGCCTCTGTCCTCCTCCCCCTCCTCCGTCCTCGCTGCGTTTCACCCACCCAGTACAGCGTTCCGTGGCCCCATAGGGATCTTCACCGAAGGCCCCAGTGGCACCACCCGCATGCGTCACCCACACTCATTTCAGCACACCCCTCACATGTTTCTTGGCCCCATCGGCCACCGAAGGCCCCAGCGACACCGCCCGCATGCGTCACCCCCCACCCAGTACAGCGTCTCGTGGCCCCATAGGGAGCTCCACCGAAGGCCCCAGCGACACCGCCCGCATGCGTCACCCCCACCCAGTACAGTGTTTCGTGGACCCATAGGGAGCTCACCGAAGGCCCCAGCGGCACGGCCTGCATGCGTCATCCACCACCCAATACAGCATTTCGTGGCCCCATAGGGAGCTCCACCGAAGGCCCCAGTAGCTCCGCCCGCATGCATCATCCCACCCAGTGCAGCGCTTCGTGGTCCCATAGGGAGCTCCACCGAAGGCCACAGTGGCACCGCCTGCATGCGTCATCCCCCACCCAGTGCAGCGTTTCGTGGCCCCATAGGGAGCTCCACCGAAGGCCCCAGTGGCACCGCCCGCATGCGTCACCCCCACCCAGTGCAGCGTTTCGTGGCCCCATAGGGAGCTCCACCGAAGGCCCCAGCGGCACCGCCCGCATGCGTCACCCCCACCCAGTGCAGCGCTTCGTGGCCCCATAGAGAGCTCCACCGAAGGCCCCAGTGGCACCGCCTGCATGCGTTCCCCGACACCCAATACAGCGTTTCGTGGCCCCACAAGAAGCTCCACCGAAGACTCCACTGGCACCGGCCGCATGCGTCACGCCCACCCAGTACAACGCTTCGTGGCCCCATAGGGAGCTCAACCCACTGCACTCGCATGCGTCACCCCCACCCAGTGCAGCTCTTCGTGGCCCCATAGGGAGCTCCAACGAAGGCCTCAGTGGCGGCGTTCGCATGCGCTCCCCCCATCCAGCACAAAGCTTCGTGGCCTCATGTGGAGCTGCACCGAAGGCCCTGGTGGCTGTACTCGCATGCGTTCCCCACCCATTACAATGTTTCGTTGCCCCATAGGGAGCTCCACCGAAGGCCCGTGGCGGCTCCGCCCCACTGCGGCGCACCCGTCACACTTCCCCGTAGCGCGGTCCGCCCAAAGCACCAGTGGCAGCGCCTACATGGCGGCCCCGCCCCACATCGGCACACCCTCCGCATGCTTCATGGCCCCGTGAGGAGATCCCCCGAAGGCGATACCTGCATCGAGGGTACTCACAACTGCATATGGTTGGGATTCCTCGCAAGGATGTTTTTTTTTATAGCGTGGTCCCACCCTTCCCACCTCGCGGACCTCCAGTGCCAACGCTAGTGGAGGGCTCGCCTCGGGGCCAGCGGCCCCGCTGGCTTGTCAGCGCCGTCGATGGCTCCCTCGGAGAAGTGTTCTGCGAGTCCATATTCGGCGGAATCGACACGTCTCTCGCCACCTCCCGGATGATGGGCGCAGGACGTTCGCGACGGCCGCGATGGGCGCGGGCGCCCGAACGACGACTTCCGAACGGCCCCCGACCCCTCAAAACGCGACACTGGTCGAAGAATTACCCCGGGCCCCGCGAGGGCCAGAAAAGTCTATACCCTGAGCAAACGCACCAATGACGCAAAACCTTAGTATGAAGATTTCAGGGTGTCGGTCAGCCCAGAGGGCCCTGCCCGATCGGGCCCTCGGGAGTCGCCGCCAAGGCTGGGCGGGCACTCGCGCGCTTGCCCGTTCCCGCGACCTGCCAGTGCTGCTTGGCGCCTCTCGGGTTGCACGCAGGTCGGGGGCGACTTGGGCAGACGCTGAGATGGCCGACGTGCGACGTAAAACCCAGTCTGACTGTTTTTCTCGAGTGGGGCCTGGCAAAAACACAAGACAACGTCTAGTTCATCGTGTTTGTTTGTCCCTTGAATCGAAGATCACGGCCCTCCCGCGTTCCCGAGGCCACAACACTGCCTTGCAAATTACAGCATCATCAGATGATCAACGCCATGCAATTCATACAAACTCGCGCACCAGCGGTCACGAGCGACGCGCGAGACGTCCCCGGGAGCGAACGACTGTCACAACCTCTGGTAATGTACAAGAAAGTTGCGACCCCAAGGTCACAACCCATCGTAAATTACTATTGCTTCGCGTTCGAATCCACAATTCCCTGCACATTACGGCACATTCGCGCTACGGATGCTACGATGCCTTGTGAATTCAACTGGTTCGCACTCCTGAGGCCATAATTTTACGAAAACTATGGCGCGTCCGCGGTTCCGAAGCTACAGGCCCCACTAAATTCCAACGAGTTCGAGCTCTCCTGGCTAGCCCCTTGCAAATTACAATGGATTCGCGTGCCCGAGGCCACAATTCGCATTAAATCTCGGCGAACTCGCGTTTCAGAGGCCACTGACCACTCCACGGGGGCTTCCTAAAAGCGCCACGCCCCTTCCAGATCAAACACCTGCAATGTTCTCTTTGGGGATCTGTTCTCGGAGGAAGCTTTTTCGCCCTCCCGTCGCGTCTTGAGAATTCGGCCCTGGACCCGAGGCCACGACTGCTAAAACATCTGCTACCGTGCCGCTGGGCAAGGAGTGCGTGTCCTCAGGTCCTGTGCCCACTCCTCTAAGCCTCATTCCTCACTCCTGAAGAATATTTAGAAAGAGCCCAGGCCCCTCGCTCTCAAATCTCCCGGGGCTTCCCGACTGTCCCCTGGGCTTTGCCAAGTGGCGGCGCGCAAGTTCTTCGGGCCCAAGAAGGCCCCAAGACGGGTCTAGAGGGCCCCAATCGGCCTCCAAGACGGCCCAAGAGGGCCCCGAGACGCCGAAAGATGGCCCAAGACGCCCAAGATGCCCTCAAGATGGCACACGAAGACTCCAAGACGCCCCACGAAGCCTCCAAGAGGCCTCCCAAGAGGCAAACATCATTGATTTGCCACTGGTTTTTGAAGGATTTGGGGGTTCTCGCCTTTTCGGCTTTCCGACGCTCCAGGACGGCCTAAGAGGCCCCGAAGACCATCCCAAAACGGCCCAAGAGGCCTCCCCCCAAGACGGCCTAAGAACGACCCAAAACGGCCCAAGAGGGCCCCAAGGCGGCCCCGAAAGGAGCCCAAGAGAGAGAGAGAAAGAGAGAGAGAGAGAGAGAGAGAGAGAACACGAACCGAAAATCCGAGCCTTCCGCCCCAAGAGCCCAGGAGGCCCCAAGAGGCGCCTAGGAGGCCCCAAGAGGCCCCGAGGAGGCCCCCAAAGGCCCAATAGAGGCCGCAAGAGACCCCCAAACGGCCCCCAAGAGGCCTCTAAACTGCCTTCAAGATGCCCCCGAGAAGCCTCCCACGAGATCTGAACGAACATCCACTATGCTTAATACCTACAACCCAGGCGCGGTGGCGGGATGGGTCGAATGCCAGCAGATAGCTAAGGGTGTGCGTTCCTGAAGCCGCGAACCCTCGTAAATTACATTGGAAACGCGCTCACGAGGCCACCTTGCCAGATCAACCATTACAGTCGCGTGCAACCAGCCAGTCAACGAACAGCCCAACTCAACTGCAAACCACCAAGGTAGACAACAAGCCAATCATCTGAGTTGCCAGCCAGCCAGCCGCCAAGAAAACCAACCAGCCCACCGACCAAGCGTGGCCACGCAAACGATCTCAGGGGGGCCGGAAGTAGAGGGCGGAGCCCTTCAGGTGAGCACTCAATGACTCCAAGACAGCCCAGGAGGGCTCCGAGATCGCCCCAAGACAACCCAAGAGTCCCCCTATCAAGGGTCCAAAAAGGCCCAAGATGGCCTCAAGACGGTCCGGGATGCCCCCACGAGTACCCAAGAGAGCCACATGAGGATCCTAAGAGAGGCCGAAGAGGGGCCTAAGAAGGGCTTTGGGACCTTTCCCTGAAACATTGCCGTCGAGAACTTCAACATGCCCCCCAGGGGGCCCCCCTCAAGAGGCCCCCAAGAGGCTCCCAAGACGCCACAAAAATCCTCTCCACGAGGCCCCCGAGGTGCCTCCCAAAAAGCCCCCACGACGCCTCAGGAGGCCCCTTCAGAAGCCTGCAGAGTCTCAACATATCTCCCGAGGACCCAACACCAATGACCCTCGGCCTCCAAGGCCCCCTACCACACGCATAGCACTGTGCCCTCAACCGACCCTCCGATGCGCCCATCGACAAGCACCCAGGACGCCCTGAGCATGCATGAGTCGCCAAGCAACCCTTCGTCCAGACGTGAGTCACACTCCTAGGGAGCGGCCAGTGATGCGCCGCTGGCGTCCTCGATGAGCACTCGCTGAGTCCTCTTTTGCTGAGCCTCTGCCGAAAACCCTCCGGAGGCCCACGCCAGGAGGACGGCCCCCCCGCCCACCCCCAACCTAGGGGCTGCGAGAACGGCGCCCGGGCACCGTATCGTGCCTGGACTCCCTTCGGGCTTCGCTCCAACGCGGTACGGTGCATCGTGTCTCGGCCCTGATGAGGATCGGCGGTAGGCGGGATCTGGCCCAGGGAGGGAAGCAGCTACCTTGAATCGACGATGCATTTCCGATGGATCGGCGATCGGCCCCCGATGGCGGTCCCGCACTTTCCTGAGCGAGGCGGGCTCTATGGGCCCCTATCGGCGATCCATGGGCGATCGGGGGTCGATGCACCCGGTACGCACTCGGCAGGAGGCGGGCCCGCGCGCTGTGCGCCCTGGCCCGTCAGCCGCGGAGCAGGCGCCCAGGGGCGCCTCACAGGCGGGTGTTGAGGATGACCTCCAGCGGCGTCTGGTCCCAC